GCTCGCGCCCGCAGCCCTTCCGCGCAGCGGCTCGCCGGCCAGGCAGCCCCCTCCCCGGGACGGAGCCCCGAACTCACCCTCGGGAAGACGGGTTCGTGGGGCGAGCCCCCGCATCCCCCCGCCGCCTTCCTATAACGCAAGGAGACAGTTGCTACAACACTTCGCCGTCAAATTGAAGTCGAAATGGTCCAAGTATTTACCAGTTTCTAGACGCTTTTTTGGAATCTCGAGCATCCAGTGATTCCTGTTTTAGGATTTAAGACGCTTCCTTCCTTCTTCTTTTTTTTTTTTTTTTCTTTTTTTTTTTACCCGGCCCGACCCCCCTTTTGTTTCCCCCCCCCCCCGCCTTTTTATTCACCCACGGACACTTCCAAAACGTGTCGATTGATCCTTTTTTCTTTCCAGATGCAACCACGATCCAGAATCCTAGGGACCCAAAGCCACCTCCATGTAAAATCCGACCATTAGGCAAGAAATACAAATGATCAAACAACGTTACTTCTTTCAGCTGCAATCAGATAATCCTACTAATCCAATAGATTTATCTCGATTGGAAATTGACCTCAAAAATGAATTCCCGGTGCTGCTGTCCAGTAGAACGATTCTGTAGCCTGGATTGGATGACCAAAAGAACTGTGGTTTCTTTCTTTCTTTTTCTTTTTGAAAGGAAAAAAAAAAAAAAAAACCTTTTTGGATTCTGGGTGCACTGCTCGGGTAAAAAAAAAAATGCCGAGGACCCTGGTTTTCCCCTAATATAGGTTTCTACTCCAAATCGGTGCAGGATGGAAAATGGTACAAAGATACCCCTAGTGGCTGGAAGCGATATTACTGAGATCTCACTTTTTTTTTTTTTAATCCCCTCTCACCTTTTCCCCCTCCCACTGTACATAACTGGCTGTTGTAGTCTTGAAACAAGAAAAAGGTTGAACTTAGATTAACGTGGATAGTAGATCACTACGTGAACAAATGATCTTTCTTCTCTGTTCCACGTTTAGAAGCTGAATCTTCTGTGGTTCTCTCTCCTCGGTGTTCTTTTTTTCTACAACATTTTCCCCAAAGGCATTTAGGAACCCAAGTGTCAATTTGGGGCAGCTTGGTGATTTCAAAGTAAATGTATTTGTTTTGGAAGTAATTATGGATCTATGGAAAGAAGCCTCAGTCTTTTAGAGATATGTTGCCCTTTTTTAAACATTTAAGATTTTGCTCTCTTTAAGAGAATACGAGCACAGAAATATGTATTTGGCCAGCGTCTTCTCACTTTGCACTTCCAGTGCTCTTTCAGCAAAGCAGGTGATGGCTCTGTGCGCCTGTTGTCAGAGATAGAAACCTCAGAGTCATTCTGGAAACTCTCCTGTTGCTGGGCTCCATCCTTTGGAACTCCATGGCCACCCCATCACCACCAGCATCTCTGACAGGTTTCAGAGACAAGAGCCAATACAGTGAATTTCTGGACTCCACTTTGCTGAGAAATGCTTCACACACTTTCCATATCAACCACCCAACCACCTCTTTAAAATGATTCGATTCTGTAGGACTGGGACAGCTGAAATGATCTATATTTAAGAAACACTCTGAGCACGTTGATTATCAAAGGCCAGGTGAACTAGCGAAGTCTGATTCACTTCATGCAGATGGGTTAGCAGCTGCAAGATTTCCGAGATTCTCTTCCTTAGTTGACTAAATAATCCCTTCATAGCGTATATACCAGTAAGGAGTCCAGAGACCTTCCTTCTTCCACTGGTTTTACTGCCAATTAGCTGTATGACTTTGAGCAGTCACTTTTTGGCCCATGATTAATTTATCTATTAAGATTAAGAAATAAATCCACATAAATCAACAGATATACATGTTCCTGGATGAGAGACTCAATATTGTAAATTAATCTATAAATTAATATAATTATTATTAAAAGTCCACTATAGTTTTCATGGAGCCTGCAAAGTTAATCTTAAAACGTGTTTGCAAGAGCAAAGGGTAAAAAATTGTTTAATGTGATCTGAAGAAAAAGGTTTGGGGGGGTTCCACGTGAAAAATTAAAATTAAGACTTAATATAAAATGACAGTAATTAAAGCACTGTAGCTTTGGTTCAGAGACAAAAATTAGTCGGAAAAAAAGAACAGAAAGCCTAGAAATACATCCATGCATTTATGGAAGCTTGATAAATAACAGGTGGCAATAAAAAACAATGAGGAAAGATGAATTATTCAGATAATAGATTAGGCATATGAAAAATGATAATACTGGTCTCAACTTTGCTTCACATCGAAGCATGTTTTTAAGGTAGGTTAAAGAACTAAAAGATGAAGAGAAAACCTTAAAACTTTTAGGGTGAAAGTTTTATGATTTGGGGTCAATGGGAAAAAGGTTTATTATATAAGAAATAACCAAAGTTCATAAAACAAAAATATTAAGTTTTATAAGTTAAAATGAAAAATTATGTATATTCAAAATTCAAGACATAGACTGAGAGAAGATTTTGCAAAGAATATAACCGATGAGAGTTTATTAAAAATCTATTTAATAAGACAAAAAATAGAACAAAAGAAAATGGGCTAAGGAAATGAAAAGTCAGTTGACAGAAGAAGATTCTCAATATATAATATCTAAAAAAGAAACTCAATCTGACTATTTATTAGAAAAATGAAAGTTAAAATGCTAAGATATTATTTAACAGCCCTAAAATTGGCAAAAGTATATAAACCTAGCAATCTCACATATTGATGAAGATGTGGAGAAATCATAGAGAACATGTAATAGTGAAACAAATTCAGAGAGCGGTGAAGCAATAGTTGAAGATTTTCATACCCTAAAATCCTTGGGACCACCAGGTGGTGAAATGCTTACATCACTGGACTCCCACATGGCCGACCACGATTTGAGTCCCAGACTTGGTGACTTGAAACTAACACCAGGCACATGCACATGTGTGTGTGTGCCCAAAATCATGAGAGAATGAAGGAGAAGGGATTGTAGCATGGCCATCCCCCCAGAGGATGATTTCTCATTTTCTGTCTCTCTGTCTCTCTCTGTCTCTCTGGTGAGCACACATGCCCTATAGCAAAAATGTCATAAAAAAATATTTTCCACTCATAGAAATATTCATTACAGAATTTCTTCAAAGAGCAAAAAATAGGCAACAATCTAAAAGCCTTTGTCTAAGTAAGTGAATAAGAAATTTACTGAATATTAGTTCACTAGGCCCATAATACTACAATATTAGAAGCAGTTACAATAAAAATGAATACACCATAACTACTTGAGTTAGTATGAATGGACGTCAAAAATACAACGTGGATTGCACGCACACGCAAAAGGAAGGTCGCAGGAAGGTGCCGACTGGGTTAAACTACTTTTACACCAAGTTTAAAATCATGCAAAATAATTACACCTATCATGTTTTGCACATACATATGTAACAGAAGACAGCAATATCATGACAATGATAAACGTAAAATGTGGGATAGAGGTTAATGGAATTGGGACAGTATGATGGACAGGGATAACGGAATTTGTAGTGCTTTCTCCCTCAGAACCTGGAGGTAACAGGTTTATAACATGACTGTGCAGACTGTATGCCTCACGTATTTCATCAAGATGAAACATTTGGAGTAGATGATTTTTGAGAACCCTACAGTATTATGAAATGGTCTAATTAGAATAAATCATGTATGGATGTGACACAATAGCAGGGCAGCCACCTGCAGTGACACAGCTGCAGTGTGAAGACCCATGATACAAAAGCCACACAGGAAGGCCCTGGGTTCTCCTGAAGATCTCCTTGTGCACCACGGGCGTGCACTTATTATTCAGTGTCCTCAATGGCCGAGTGTCGGAGTGGAACCCGCTTGAAGACCCAGTTGTGGGGGGGGGGGTGCATTTCTTTCTCTCTGCCTCTCTCGCATAGAAGAAATAAATAAAGTAAAAAAAAAAAAAATACTATGAGAGGGACCAGCAGTTGGTGTTACAGCAATGTTGCTGGACTCCCATGTAGTTGACCGCAGCTTGAGTCCCAGACCCGGTGGCTTCAACTCACGCTGGGCACATGTGTGTGTGCCCAAGATCCCTAGAGGACAATGGGGGACAAGGGATTGCAGAGTGGCCATCCCTCCTGGGGGGGGGTGATTTCTCACTTTCTGTCTCTCTGTCTCTCTGTCTCTCTTCCTTTCTGGCGAGCATGTGAGCCCTGTAGCAAAAACTTCTTCATGAAAAAAGAAAATACTATGAGAGTTCAGAACTGCATAATGTGCTTTATATAGAGAGATTTCCTTTATAAAAACCTGTACTACTTTATAATTCTAAGTAGAAACAGGTTGGTGCTTATTTATTTCTATAATGGGTACTAAAATGTAGAGCTAGCAAACGAAAATCACCACCTAAACGACAAAAATCTTGCTGTAGGAAAAATGTAATTCTCACCTGGCTTTTTCTTGTCTTTTTCTTTGATTTCACAAATAGTAACTGTGTCTCTGAAATTGTGAAACAGGCAATCAATTGATCATGTTGAGTCTGATCAGTTAACGAGAAATCGCCAAAGTCTAAGAGCCCTAAGCCAAACTACAACAGGAAAGAAAATTCTGCCAGACTATTTAAAATATGTAAGTAAATTCACACAGGAAAGCTTTGTTGGTATGAAATATGAAAACTAGAAATCTAGCATCCCTCCTGGGGGGGGGTGATTTCTCACTTTCTGTCTCTCTGTCTCTCTGTCTCTCTTCCTTTCTGGCGAGCATGTGAGCCCTGTAGCAAAAACTTCTTCATGAAAAAAGAAAATACTATGAGAGTTCAGAACTGCATAATGTGCTTTATATAGAGAGATTTCCTTTATAAAAACCTGTACTACTTTATAATTCTAAGTAGAAACAGGTTGGTGCTTATTTATTTCTATAATGGGTACTAAAATGTAGAGCTAGCAAACGAAAATCACCACCTAAACGACAAAAATCTTGCTGTAGGAAAAATGTAATTCTCACCTGGCTTTTTCTTGTCTTTTTCTTTGATTTCACAAATAGTAACTGTGTCTCTGAAATTGTGAAACAGGCAATCAATTGATCATGTTGAGTCTGATCAGTTAACGAGAAATCGCCAAAGTCTAAGAGCCCTAAGCCAAACTACAACAGGAAAGAAAATTCTGCCAGACTATTTAAAATATGTAAGTAAATTCACACAGGAAAGCTTTGTTGGTATGAAATATGAAAACTAGAAATCTAGTTTTAAAGTTAGTAGATTTTTTCCATAAATTCTCGTAAAATAGAAGATACCAAATATT